AAGAACTAAATAAAATGGACTAGCTACATTATACCCTTTTCTATATATATATATATATATATATATATATATATATATATATATATATATATATATATAGAGACAATCGTTGGATTAGCGAAAAGAATATTAACGATATTGAAGAGCAAAAAGAGGGAAAACACATTAAAATAACGAACAAGTATATATACTTGTAACGAGGGAAGGATCGTGTAAATAAATTAGCGAGGACAGTTAAAATAAAATATCCCCAACAGATTCAGAGACCTTATAAAGATTTTTCTGCCGACAGAGAGAAGGTTTTCTTAACCTATACAGACCGATTCCAAAATCTTCAAATGATTATTGGAATCGGCTGTATGAATAATTTTAAACCACTCTATATATATATATATTATTTATTTTTCAATAAAGTTACTGTTTTAAAACTTTGAATGATGGTAAATCGATCATAATTTTCCTCCCTCATGATTTTATAAGTTCAGATCTTTCATTGGCCCAGTAGTTTTGTATGACCTTTGTTCAATATCAAGCTGCTTAAAATGATGTATCTTCTGTTACACAAAACCTACGGGATCGCAATAACTTAATTTCCAATCCTCAAGGTCCACATCTGCTAATGTTAAAAGCATACCGCTGAACAAGTTCTTAATAAAATAATGGTGTATAATCATTTTATGTTGTTCAGCCAAAAGCTTTGTACTTAATGTATCTTGCACAGATTCGTTAATATATACTTTGAAAATATAAAATCTTCCAATATATATATATATCCAGGTAAGATGAGAATGAATAGAGTAAAATTCCAACGTTCGTTACATTTAATTTAAAAGAGGGTTCAATACAAAGTAGAGTAATATTATTTATTTTAGGATATTACATCGAAAACCTGTCAGGATCGTTACACAATTGCAGTCGTGTTTCGATGCGTATTAAATGTATCTCATCAGGCGATGGTAAATTAATGACAAGTGAACGATTTATTTAGATTTAAAAGCAAAATGCAAGCTCTTTTAAGAAAAATAAATATTCCGAAACATAATGCAAATTTAATAAACTGAATCATAATACAAATTCCAAGGAAAATATCGTTAATGATGCTGTCTAGTGTAATTGTAGGCATTATGCCTACCAGTAATAAATCCTGGCAGGAGTTCTACTTTCCTTAAGATCGTCTAGTTTTAAACGTTCAATAAGTATTGTGATTTATGATTGTGTTTATAAGCACGGGATTTGTGTGTCGGGCCATATCCTGCTGAAAGAGAGGTTTTAGCGTTGTTTCTTTTGGTGCCAGACTTTTGGACGCTAGGAAAAAATGTTGATTGATTTATAATCATTCAAAGACACAACTTTAAAAAAAAAATTTCAATTGCGTCTTGCTGATTCAAAATATAAATTTTCTTTGTTTTCATTTTTCTTTAATATTTACTCGTTGCTCACATACTTTGTTCCCGGTATCCTCAGCATCATTCGGTAGAACCATAGTCAGTCAGTTGGGAGATCATCTTTCTTTCGATTTATGACTGTCTAGGCAGAAGATTTTTCCCGCAGTATGCAGCCGTTTCTTTCTGGGGCAGATTGGTTGCCAGTCAAGGTTATAGGATCGAGTGCAAGATGCATTGGGTACAAAGCTTTTGGCTGAATAATATAAAATGATTATACACCATTATTTTATTAGGAACTTGTTCAACGGCATGGTTTTATCATTAGCATATGTGGACCTTGAGGATTGGAAGTTATTACGATCCCGTAGATTTCGTGTAACAGAAGATACATCATTTTTAGCAGCTTGATATTGAACAAAGGTCATGCAAAACTACTGGGCCAATGAAAGATCTGAGCTTATAAAATCATGATAGAGGAAACTTATGATTGATTTACCATCATTCAAAGATTTAAAACAGTAACTTTATTGAAAAATAAATAAATATATATATATATATATATATATATATATATATATATATATATATACTGTTAAATGCTATAACGTAGCTTTCTTTAGTTCATTTTATTTAGTTCTTTATTCATATACTCGATAGCATCCAAGTTTTCAAAGATAATAATAGTTTTATGTATTCTATCTGCTTCTCTATACTTTCTAAGTAGGAACTCTTCCATCTTATTAAGATGTAGCGAAGAAAACGGAGAATTACCTTTTTCTATTCAACCCATATCTGCAGGATATAAAAAAAAGAATTCATAATAAGGATGAAACAATATTACTGTTGCCCAAAACAATACCATCAATATGTTAAGAAATGGACAAGGTCCGACAATTTATTTATTAAAGACATTTTTATGTTTAACGTTGTTATTTATAGATACAAGTATTTAAGCAAATTATGTATTTAATACTGTTTATCATAAACAGAGCATTTGCTTAAATACTTGTATCTATAAATAACAACGTTAAACATAAAAATGTCTTTAATAAATACCATCAATGTTGTTATTAGAAATTATTTTTTAAATTAGTAAATTCAAACCCTAGTATGTAATGTAATGAAAAGGTGTTCTAAAATAAGGTCATTTACTCTATTTTCGGAAAATTGTGTGGGTTTAGAATTTTTCAGCACTCCTTTTGAAACTAAAATTTTGTCCAATGGCTATTACAATGTTGTACAACTCAAACTGTCAGATGAACAGATAAAGCCCACAGAGTTAGGTCTCCATATTTTTTCAATGAAAATTAATGTCACCTGTCACACTTTAATTTCTTTCACCGGTTTATTTTTCCTATAAAATATATTAGACAAAGAAAATTATTGACAGCACTGAAAAAATTTAACCTTTTAACAGATAATTATCGTCCAGCCAAATAGCTTGATTCCCCTGTTGTTAGTGCGTAATGTAATGAAAAGGTGTTCCGAAATAAGGTCATTTTTCCTATTTTCGGAAAATTGTGCGGGTCTAGAATTTTTCAGCACTCCTTCCTAAGTTCGAAAATAAAATCGACATGATTTTAAAATACAATTTGTTCAATGGCTATTACAATGTTGTAGAACTCAACTGTCAGATGAACAGATAAAGTCCACAGAGTTCGGTCTCCATATTTTTTCAATGAAAATTAATGTCACCTGTCACACTTTAATTTCTTTCACCGGTTTATTTTTCCTATAAAATATATTAGACAAAGAAAATTATTGACAGCACTGAAAAAAATTTAACCTTGTACCAGATAATTATGTCCAGCCAAATAGCTTGATTCCCCTGTTGTTAGTGTATTACTTAAATGCTGTCCGCCATTTTTAATGGCGTCAACACACTTAATAACCTAGCCTGATAATGCCTAGAGAAGATTGCTTTTTTTCCATCCAATTTCTTTTGACTATGCTCCAAACTCTTATTGAGACTTCTTTTCGTTATATTCTGATCTCACTAGTTCAACTTTAAGAAGAAAGACAACTGAACGGAAACTCTATTACCAACAATAATAAATAGACTGTCTCGGCGGACTTTATCTGCGAAGCCGTTTACCAATAATAAGCTATCTTGTTCAACATAATGTGTGAAACACGACTGACGAAACGGAATTTTGGGGCCTTGCAGGAATTATATAAGATCAGTATATGTATGATGCTACATAAGAGAAGCATCTTTTTATTGCTTATATATTTTGTCTGTAGCCCGACATACTTTTCATTTGAAAAACAATGTTTACTATTTCTTTTTATTCATCCATAATAAAGGGTGTTTCATTAAGACGGATTATATATAAGGGTGTTTCATTAAGACGGATTATATATAAAGTGTTTCATTAAGACGGATTAAAGTCAGCAGTAAATAAATCAGTGTTACTGGTGAAAATTTATTTATTTCTCTATTGGATCGTGTTATTTAAGTCATGACAATTATGTGTGAAAAATAATATCGCCCAAATGTCCGCCAAATCTGAAAGAAAAAAATGTTAAAAAATCATTAGACACTTAAACTTAATTCACATTTAAAATCGGTTCAATTATTGGAACACCTTTTATATTTAAAAAAAAACAAAACATAGTAACCTTTATCGCCAAGTATTATCAATTGATGTTTGATTGGATATCAGCAGATATCATCACTTGATCATTTAGGTCATTTATTTATTGATCATTTAGACATTTTTCCAATCATACTAATATTAGTTATTCCGAATGATATGAATATCAGTTATTCAGGTAACTCTGGCATTTACTAGGAGTCATCATATCATGTCATTTCCTGTGGTATTTACTGATTGACTGTTTTTTCTTATTTTTTTTTACGGTTTATCAACTTTTTTCCAAGTAATTTAAAGCCAGAAATCATTGTTAGATTATAAGAATTGTTTTGAAGATTTAATGATGCAAGTCATACTAATTAACCCATAGCTAGGGAAAGAAGAAGTGGATTCGTACATTTCCCAAGAAGATTTGCGTAGAAGTGAATATGACGAATTTGACTGGAGTTTTGAACACAGCTCTTCGAGTTCCAAATCCGAGTCGTTATCCATAACACCACCCGCACATCCAAGCTTACAGTACCTGATAATCCAACCAGTCACAAGTTTAGGTACTTACCAGGCACGAGATTTCTTAAATGCGTTGATGGTACGAGAACCGCTATTTCAACATGATATGGCCGTAAACATTACCACATACACATCCAAGTTTACAGCACTTGGTATTCCAAAGTTGTCATTTATCTAGGTACTGAGGTTCGATATTGCTTAAATTCGGTGGTCGTACGAGAACCGCTATTTCAACGTAATATGGCCGTAAACATTACCACCCGCACATACAAGCTTAAAGCACCTGGCATTCACAAGCGGTCATCCAAATAAGTATTGACCAGGCTCGACGTTGCTTAACTTTGATGATTGTACGGAAACCAGGATGTTTGTATGGTAAGCCTCAGTTTATGTCAACATGATTAATTGGTGTCACTTAGGTTCGTAAAACAAAAATTAGGAAATAATTTTCTGAAACAATTTTTCTAGATTAGCATTTATTAAACTATCCTTTACCCACGACTTTTGTTTACAGCACCTAGTATATCCAAGCGGTCACTCGTCTAGGTACTGTTCAGGCTCGACGTTGCTTAACTTCGGTGATCACACGAGAAACGGTTTTCCAATGTGATATGGCTGTAAGCCTATTTGCCTGTAGATAAAGCTGTAAGGACACGACAAATATAGTTGCATGTCTGCATGCATGCTTCTCGAAGAGAAAAGTGGGGAAGAATGGTGACCCCTTGGTGCTAAGAATGCCCAATTACATTAGGCATATAATGTTTCAAATTCAGGTACCTAGTATGTGGTTTCCATTTTTTATTTTTAGAATTTAAGAGTTAAATTATTTTTATTATTATTATTATTATTATTATTCACAGGTTTGCATATAATTAAAACGAAACTAAATTGCATAAAAACTAACCATTTAAATAAAAAAGAATCTTTTTTAACACAATGACGTGCAAGTTCCTTCAACTATTCCCGTTGTTTAAGGATCGAGTAAGAGAGAAAGTACCCAGCGTACCTCTTTTGCAAAAACTAGAGAATGAATTCCTTCATTTCCTCCTCTAAGCACTTTCATAACACACAAGTCATAACTCTCTACAGTGTCGTTTCGGTTTACAACCATATCACGGTGAAACAACGGTTCCTGTACGATCACCGAAGTTAAGAAACGTCGAGCCTGGTCAGCACCTAGATGGGTGACCGCTTGGGACTACCACATGCTGTAAGCTTGGATATGTGTGGTTAGGGTAATGGATAACGGCTCGGAATTTTTAATCAGAGAACTGAGTTCCATTTCGAGTTGCTACTCTTACCCTAGAAAAACCCACAGCTGCTACCACTTCGTAAAAAGGGCCTTCTTGTGTTAACATTCTACAGTCAACTGGTGCTAAGAACTGCCATCGTCTCATGTCTGTCACACTGGCACTCAAAACTTCTTCTTTTATGTGACGTGTCCATTCAGGGCGTAGAGGACCATGGCTCTCCACTTCTCCCTGTCCTTTGAAGCTCTAAATGAGTTTTATCTTTTTGCTACTTCTCCCAATCCCTGTTCTATCATCCACTTGCTTACACCTGCTAGGTAAATCACGCTTTGCTTTCCCTTGTCTCTCTTCCCCTCTATTCGTCCTGTGAGCATCAGATTCTCTAAGCCCTCCTTTCTCATTACGTGTCCCAGAAATTTCAGCTTCCTCTTCCTGATGTTAGCTATAAGCTTCTTCCTTGTTTGCATTCTCTCCAAAACCTCGTCGTTGCTCACGTGTTCCGTCTATGGTATCCTTAGTATCCTTCTGTAGAACCATACCTCCGTTGCCTCGAAATTCTTCTTCATCTTTGAGAAGACCGTCCAAAATTCGCTGCCGTAAAGGAGGAGAGATATCACGTAGCAGTTTAGTATACTTTCCTTTTTTTACCAACGAAATCCTGTCTCGTAATACTCTGCCTAGCTTTTGGAATGCGTCTTTGGCCATTCCAATGCGTCTTCGGATCTCAGCGTCGTACTTACCGTCCTCTGTCAGAACACTTCCCAGAAAGTGCTTTTTTTTAACTTTTACTTCAAAAAACCGTCTTCCAACTCACTCCATTTCTGCAAGTGGGGTGGGCGAAACTATCCAGTTTAATGGTGTCTCTAATTTTCGAGTAGTTGAATGCATTTACTTAGTTTGACCGTTGGCTCCAGTATGAGCGCTCACTAATGAGTAGAGCTCTTTAAGTCTATTAAAAGGCAATCATATTCAATCTCTTTTTAATACTTGCTTTCCTATGTAGCCAAAATAGATAAATAACGCTACCGACAGGGCGCGTTCGCTTCTTTGGTCTTCTGGTGACTTTTGAACTCTCTCACACATGCACATACACACATGTGTCTATCACACATACAAACAAGTATATTCTACTTATAGCTAGTTTTAATGTATTTTTTCTTTAATTACAATTGTGTACACATGCAATCCCTTTAGATAATAACGTGCATTGTCGTTTTTTTATATACACATTTTTTTTTTTTTTTTAATTTTCATTTTTGCCCGGACTCACATGAGTCCGTTGATTTTTTTTTTTTTTTTTTTTTTGCGGATAAATGTTCCCGGAGTCTATGAATATTTAATATAAAATATCTATACACCTCACAACCAAAGAGGACATACCCGCAAACTAGTATCCTGCAACAAGATAACTGACGTAATTTTACTTTAATTACACTAACTACTTTCTTTTATCTTAATTCGAGTGACTTTTCATCACAGCGGCTGTTTCCAAGGCAGATAATTGTTGTAATATATGATTTTCTTTGATAAAGCATTTGAATCCATTATTAATTTTTGAGTGGTGTTTCATTTATATCTACCTAGACTGTTTTAAGGGGAGACAACTGCTGTAACATATGAAGCTCTTCGATAAAGTATTGTTCTCCATTATTAATCTCTATCTGATATTCCATTTTTAATTACATTTTACTTTACACTGTAACTACTCCGACCGACATCTATATTCAAGGGAGATAACTGCCGTAATATTTATTTTTTAAGTATTATCATGCATAATTCGTTTTTGACTTTCAGCTTAAAACTTAATTTCAGTCTCGTAACACATTGCTTAAGTTTTGCAATGTGTCAAACAAGTATATAATTGAAATGATATATGTTCGAAAGTGTAGCGTTGCAGCTCAGACCAGACACTGGGTTCGTTCTCAGAGTAAAACGCTTCTGGCTTAAAAAGAATTCTTTGGCCAGATCGTCACACACGAAATAAAATCATGAGACTATTGTAGTAGTAGGCACATTTTGTTCTGGTTGTAACCTACTGACGTAGACAAGCGAGGCAGAGATGAACGTCATGAGGAAAGTTGAACAGTCTAACGGGCGTCTTCCTTTTTGCGTCGCGGCGAGGCTTCCTCTTGTCCGTTCTCTCCATGACGTTTTGTTGGTAGTGACCACTGTCTTATAGAAAACATTGTTCTTTGTCATGTCATCTCTGTCTAAAAAGTATATTCATCAAGGTCTGGCTTCATTCAGTGACTTTCTTTGTCAGGACAATTTGCTATGTTCCTCGTGAAGTCCACTTCACTTAGCTGATAATCATCAGAACTATAAAAGTCTGAAACAATTTTTGTAACAGGCACAGATGTTTTCATTTAACAGTTTTGCAAGTTTCCATTTCGTCTGACACTGATATCGCTACAGCAGTCTGGTATTGCCTGTAATCAAGTAACTGTTCACACACACACACACACACACACATACACACGCACGCACGCGCGCACGAGCGCGGGCACTGATGTACTGACACTTGCGCTTTCTAAGAGGTGACAATTTTTAATCACCACTGATTTTAATTAGCATATCATTATAATTATTGCTGAATTTTAGAACAGACTGTATGTGATGTTTTTTATTTGCCTTTTTAATCAATATATTCTTATATTTGCTATAAATGAACATTTGGATAAGAAAATTAGAAATTTTGCCAAAAGTATATTCTAAAAATAAATAGAATATTTTTCCTTTTTGTTTGAATTTAATCAACAAAGATTTACATTTCCAATCGACTTTATCCCGACAAATGCAGAATTTTTTAAAAAACCTATAAACCTAACCCCTCTTTCTTTTCTACGATCATCAGAATTGATTTTAAATGTTATAAAACCTGGATATGACGATGAACTACATCTGGCAGCAAGGCATCTGATCGGGAGATTAGGGATCTTGAGGAGCGAGTAAACAACCCCTTAATTACTATTGTTCCCAGGTCCACCATGAATTGAGGTGGTAGCACATGTTAGCATCCCAAATATGGACAAATAGTGAAACCCCAAACAAAACACTATGAATGTATAAAAATACATTTTTATCGTAAAAAAACAGTAATATATTTGTATATAAATAAATGGCCAACAATATCTGTTTATAGTAAAATGACCAGCAATACATTTTATTTCTACTTGAAGGCATAAAATTGCTTTCAAATTATTTAGATTTCGCCTTTAAATAACCCATAGAGGTTGATATGCCGCTAAACAAAAATTAAATATAATTAACTGGTTCAACTCTAAAGTTCGATAACTTTATGAAATCATTCCCATACCTTGTTTTAAAGTCTATACTTGGAGTCTATAACTATGTAAATATATACATAGTTGTCTATCATAAATTTTGTCATTTTTTAAGCGAACACTATTGACATTCTCCCCTCTAACATTTAATCACTATCACGCGTTTAAAAATAAAATAAACTAATGAAAAATTCAATTGATGACGAATCGAAAAGCTGGCAGTTGATAACAAAAGTGTCGCGACGCCTCGTACATTTAGAAGATTCTGTAAACCGTGTGGCCGGTGGAAGTATATCGATGAGAAACCTGCCAGATAACAAACTGATGTCTTTCATGATCACGTTTTACACACGTGCGCAAACAAGCCGGCCCTGGAAGAATTGAGAACGGAGAGGCAATTGGTCGCGACCATAAGAAAGCGAAACCTGCAATAGTTTGGCCTTACCATCTGGAAACTGAACCTCCACGAACACATCCTGGAGGAACGCGTCGATGGTAGGAAACCAGGGCAAAGGACAAGACGACGCCGGAGTGATGACATCAGAGACTGAAACGCTGAGTACGCTGACGGAGTGCATGGGAGACAGTGGAGAGCATTTGTCCAGAATTCCGACCATCAGCAATGAGTAAGAAGCAAGCAAGCACACACACACACACACAATACAGATATAAATATATTTCTCACCTACACAAAACAGACATGTTTGCAGAGGTGTTGAGATCTCACAATTATACATACATATCTTAATATATACACATGCACATATCATACAAACTTCCAAAGAACTAAAAGATAACATGCACTTAACACATACATCCCATTCCCAACAACCAATAAATTTATAAAAATGACCAAGGAGGTTGTTATTAAAGTCAGGAATCTCCCATCCTCTATCTTAAAAACAACTTGAAAGATGCCGTTTGACCAACACAGGGCCTGACCAAAATTAACGATAAAAAAACAGATGAAAAGTACAGATAAATTTTAATTTCTTCAGAAACAGTCATTCACTCCTGTAGTTCACTGCTACTAACAAGCAGTGTTTTTTTCTCCTGATGATGGCCATGCTGTCTGAAACTAGTCAAAGTACCTAATTGCAATAATAAAAGAAAAAATATTGATATACAACCCAGTGTGTCTGAAAATTTTAATTTTTCATATTTTATAGTTCAAAAAAACACACACACACACACACACACATATATATATATATATATATATATATATATATATATATATATATATATCTCCCAAGGAACAAAAAAAAATAAAACTCATTTTCATTTGTCCATGATTCCCAACCCATTGCAAGGAGGACCTTAAAAAGCAAAAATATAAAAAAAAATCAGTTAGTCATGAATAAAGAATAACCGTTTGGTTAGGCTCGAACTCTCGACTTTTTTTAGCGCGGAAAGTTTCTCTTACCGGGATAACTGCTCCAATTAATGTATAATAATGAGATTCGAAAAGAAACAGGACCTTGTCTGAGAGCCTAAAAATGACTCCTTGGACATTTTATTATGAAAACTCTGTGTGTATGTGTGTCTGTGAGAGAGTTAAAATAATGGACTAAGTTACATTTTAAAGTACCCCCGCCCCAAGATCAAATCATAACATAATTTGTTTTTAATGACTGTAATTTTTTTTTAACGTCACATCAACATCAACTCTTTAAATCTC